TATTTCTATTCCTTCAGGATTCAGAATTGCGATTCAATCAGACATATTTTGTTTATAGTTCAATTCCTTCGGAAATTCAAGTGTCCTTTTTTCTCCATAACATTCTTCAAGAGTTGCTTGTTTACATCGTGAATTGAATATCTTTCCAACCGGATTAATAATAGATGTCTCTCGGATTATAATTAAGGATGAGAATCCCGAGATTTTTTCGGGATTTCTTGAATTTTTAGTGTCCCACTACCACTACATTATCCGAATAAATAAATAAGAAATGAAAGGTGAAGAAAGAAGCGGATGTCGATAACACTTTAGCTGCAGAGATCCATTCCGTCTCGGTTCATGTTTAACGCATTTGCTAACCGATTTTGTGGCCCATCGATCGACACGTTATGAAGGGTAGTGCCATCGATTTGCTTAGATAATATGGGTGAATGGATGGATGCGTATCCCTCAACCTTTGCGAAGAATTCTTCCTACTGATATCGATCGTTTCTTTCCTCTTATTATTGTTTATGGTGACAAGATGCAGGTGACAATGAGGCTCAATCTAAAGATAGCAGTTAGGTTGAGGCTGTTCCCGTACATTTTGATTTTTGGTTTGCTCTTAGTAGCAATATCAAGAGGAAGGATAAATTCAGTTGGATACTCATCTTTCCCGGTTTCCGAGTTGGCACGGTTAACAGATGGCTGTATTGGTTAGCATCATCTTCTGATGATTAATCAAATAAGGGGCAGAAAAAGGAGAGAGGAAAAGAAAAACTACAAAAAATAGCTTATGTAAGCAACAGTATAAGGTATTTCACTCAACCGACAATCGTTCCACGAATTTCTGACTACATGTGAGCGAGTGGGTGATGTCTGAGGTGGGAAGACATCTTCGTGAAAAAAAGGAATATGAACTGAAATTCAAACCATTTTGACATCGACCTGAATGACTCGAACTTGCATTGCTCTGCGTCTATGACGCTACTTGCATATCTGTTATCTACCCTCCGTGTAATCAAACGTTTCTCCCCTGCTTCTCGCGTTGTCGATGCACGACCATGGCAGTCCGCCATCACTCACCCGACTAACTCCCCCGTTTCTGATCTACCCGGTCAGTCTTGTCCATTCCAAGCGACCACTGACGACAACACGAAGATGCACGCAGCTCGATTTCGTGCATTTCACTCGATAGGAACCCGCTGGCACCCCGCACGGCAACCTACCCACTCTCCTCTTCCCCCCTCCCTCCAGTTATCGATTTTTGAAAACTTCACTTAACACTTCTATTCTGCCATCTTCTACGCAATTACCGGTAGGCTACGAGGTGATTGCTAGACGGCTCATCGACGTGGTACTTTAGTGGTGTCAACTTGTATGCCAGCGATGGAAAGACCTTCAGACCGAGGAAATCGGGAAAGCTTAGGCTTAGACCGAGGTTCAGGTGTCTAATGTCTAGTGGAGCCTGTGTGATTCATCATATTTTCGTGCCGTGCATAAATCTAAGCAGTGTTGCGTTTTTGTTACCCCACACAATACGATGCCTTCGTTTGTTTTCAGTGTTCCAACCAACCATTCGAAATATTTACCTGGTAATCAAATAGAGAGTGATGTCGGACGAGGAAATGGAACAAACCACCCATATCCAATCGCCTCCGCATGGTAACTTCCTTCCTCAACTAATTCACCATCCTTCTAAAACAGTTGTAGGAGGATTAACAGAAAGTCGGGTTGCGTATCACGCATGATTATTAGTTGCTTCTGCGGAAAGAGTCTTATGATTTTAACCGTAATTGTTTTGTTTAGTACCAATTGAATAGTGGCTGAGATTTCGTGGAGGCGAAATGCGAACTAAAAGCGAAGACAGTAACAAGTCTTATTTAAATAATGAACAAAGAAGGAAGAATTACGTTATCGTGTTGAAAAATGTTCATTTCGACAATGATAGAATGTAAAATGGTTTTAGAAGAAGCGATGGAAGAAGATTCAGTTCAGAGTAATGAAGGTGATGCTGCTGAAGAAGATCATGATGATGAAGACATTACTGAAGAAACAAATGGTTGGTTTTTATACCTTGCTATCTAATAATGTGTTTCTCTCTGTTCAGCTTTCAGTTATTTCAGGTGGGATATACCTGCACATACACACACACACACACAAAAATACACACACACACGCACACATATACACGCACATACATACATACACACACACACACACACATACCTGCACACACACACGCACACAGATACATACATAAATGTAATCATATTTAAATGGAAAGGGGCGGATAAAAATGTTATATTGAAATTTTCTGTTGAAACTTCATACTGTCAATGTATTGCTTATACTTCAAATGAAACATTACCATGTTTCTCTCTGTTCAGCTTCCAGTTATTTCAGGTGAACAACCCTCTGATAAAAACTTATATAGTTTAGGATACGTAAAGATGTTTTACATTCCGGTCGTAACAGTAATCTTAGATCATTGATATTTATTCATTTCAACAAGAAAAGTACTATGCCTACAAATCGGTAATCTCTGAAAAAAATAACCCATATAACTCAAACAATTCTTTCCTGTTATGATCCTCAAAGATTGTCGTATTGGAACTTCAAGTAGAAACCACTGTTCGCAAACTTGATGTTATTAAAAGTAAATCGTCATTGTGTTTCCTTTAATTTTATCATTTAGCAGTTATTCTAATTTACAGTATTAGAACATTCTCGTTCTACCAAACGTAAAAAAGGTTCGAAGAAAGGGCGATTAAAAAAAGGAGAGAAAGTGCTGTTGAACCAAATGCCAGTTCGGCTGAGGTTTGCACAATGCTTGGTCTAACTGATGTACCAAATAATTTCACAGAGGAAGACATCAACTCAATTACATCTGCAAAGGTAATTTTCGTTTTAATTCTAGTTTTCTGTAGGATTTCGGTCGCAGTTGTGTTGGAAATAAAATTTCAGTACTAGAGGCTTAAAGTTTAGAAAATTTTGCCGAAGCGTTTTATGATTGGAAACTTTTATGCGGAAATGTTCGATATCCAATGCTTCTCAGTCAGTTTCAGGCGTTTGCATTACGAGTGAGACCACAATTGCAAGCTGCTAATCCGAAGGCACTTTTTACAAAGTTGCAGCAGCTAGTTCAGGCAAAATATCGAGAATTCCAGGCGGGTTTCTAAGTATCTCATAAAATACAGAATCATTGGTTCCGGATAAATGAAGTTAATATATTACACATGAATTTCAACTGGGATAAATTTCCACTTTTTTTCTCAGTCCTTCATATAGCTAATTTTATGTCGAATTCTACTTTTGTAAAACCAACTTTTTTCATCAAAACGTATGTGAAAAATGCTGAATCCATTTCGCATGGGTTTTATGTTTTAGTTTATGCTGCTATGTCTTTGTATGTTTAAGGAAGAGATGGCAGCGCAAGGGCGACCGATTGGTTCAGTGAAGAAGTCACGTTCATCAACATCTGGTGATAAAGTTGTTGCACCGATCAAAATTCGAATAAGTGCTAGAAAGAAGCGACGTAACGACGATGATGATGATGACATTAATCGTGAGTGAAATTAGTATCTAGCTGAAACTGGTTTGCAAAAAAAATTAAGAATATCTTCAGAAGTAGTTTTCATCATGGTAGTGGATTTCGTCATGAGATTAGATTAATTAAACATCATTTAAAAGGGATTTGACAAACTACTCAGAAGACGAGTTATGGGCATGCTGAGATGTAAGTTATAGAAAAGTTGGTAATGTGATTATCTTCGTAGTAAATATTTTAAAATATAAATTTAATTACTTGTCGAATTGCAGAAGATAGTGACCAAGAATTTGAGCATCTGTTGAAAGAGCATGAAAAACAGTTGGATGAAGAAGAACGAGAAAAGGAAGAGCGTCGAGCTGCACGAGCTCGTTCAGCAAAGAAAAAGGGAAAGAAAAAGAAAGGCGAAGATGGATATGAGGTTTGTAACTGTTTGTATATTTTATCACTCGTTCTTTTTAGTTGTATTATTATAAGCTTTGTATTAGCAAATCCTGATAGTTGCTTTAATATTTTAATAATCTCTTATTTCAGAGAAGCGATACTAACGGTAACTCATTGCAGACGGATCATCAGGATTATTGTGAAGTTTGTCAGCAGGGAGGAGAGATAATATTATGTGACACATGCCCGAAAGCTTATCACATGGTTTGTCTAGATCCGGACATGGAAGAGCCTCCGGAAGGGCGTTGGTCTTGTCCAACCTGTGAATCAACAGGAGCACCAAAAGAGGATGAAGAGGAAAAGAAAGTTACTACAAATATGGAGTACTGTCGTACTTGCAAGGTTGTGCTTTGGTGGTTTTTCGATAAAATTCAGGCCTTGATATCTTAACAATGTGAAATTTAGAAGCAAAATTGAATTTTATAGGAAGGAGGTTGGTTGTTGTGCTGTGATACATGTCCCAGTTCGTATCATGCCTACTGTTTGAACCCGTCACTAACGGAAATACCGGAAGGTGATTGGTCATGTCCGCGTTGCTTGTGCCCAGAACCAAAGAATCGTCCTGAAAAATGTCTTTCTTGGCGGTGGATTGAAATTGTTTATCCACCACCAATGACTGAAGAAGAATTAAAGGTAAGTTTTGACTACGTTTTTTCTTGGCAGTTCCTGAACATTGATTCACAGTATGTCAGATGCTATTTTATATAAGTTGATTATTTTATGTATATCATTCACACGCAACTGACGGATAGGATCGTTTTGGATTAGCTGTAAAGTGGTTGTATATTTTATATGATTGTAGGAACTAGAAGGACAAGAGAGTGGTCGAAAAATAGCTCTGAAGCCTCCTAAGGAACTCGCAAATCGTAGAGAACGTGAACTTTTCATAAAATGGAAATATATGAGTTACTGGCATTGCGAGTGGGTGAATGAAATGGTCCTCGATGTACACTTTACGCAGGTACAATTACTTTATACTGATTTTCATTACAGCTGCGTACCAAATGATTTTTAATGTTTTTCAGTTTCTTCGGATGTACTGGAGAAAAATGGATCCGGAGACACCTCCTGAAGTAGATGATGGGAGCCAGGAAGATCTACAAAGTGGAAAAATCGAAAAAAAGGATAAAGAAAATGATCCTCACAATCTTGAAGAACGATTTTATCGTTATGGTAACAGTTTTGAATAAGCTAATCTACTTGTTAAGATTGTGTTAATGTAAGCATTTAGTGAGTAATAATCTTTCATCTTTAATTCAAGCGAGAGAATTTTGCGGCCGGCACAGTCAGCCTTTCTTAGAGAATTCATGCATGTTCATTTCGGTATAGAGTCACTCTACCACCAGCTGGGAAATGCAGCACACTTTGATGACATCTTGATATTAATTTTCTTTGAAAGGCAGTTGTAGAATTACTTGTCTAACTCAGGCATCAAACCGGAATGGATGCAAGTACAACGAATCATCAATCACGTACAATATGGGAAAACGCAGTTTGATTATTTGGTTAAGTGGAGAGAGTTAGTTTATGAGCAGGCTACCTGGGAGCGTGATGACTTCGATATTATGGGTTATGAAGATGCTATCATCAAATATTGGGCACATAGGTAGTTTTTTCAGTATAAATTCAATAGCTCGTATAGTTTAAAACAGGCTCGAAACACAATGTTGTTTTACGGTAATTGGCAAAATCATTTAAATTTAGGAAATTGAATATATGTACTGCGAAGTAATAACAGTAAAAAGATCGCTGCAAACATTTCCCATCGGTTCGAAATTGAAAGCTGTACTTCAAACCTTAGTATCAACCTTTAAAAAAAGTCATCGTGCCCACAGTTATTTATTGCTGCTTTTCTTTATTCACTTTTGCTACTTAGGCAGCGTATGAACGGAGATATTTTACCGAAGCACATAGCAAAAAAATTAGCAGCGAAGAAAGTTGAAGAAGGTAAAGACAAGGACGACGAGGAGGAAGAAGAATGTAAAAAAAAGAAAAAGAAGGAACCGAAAACAGATGTTTGTTCATTTCGTATAACTTTTTGTTGCATTATAATTCGTCTTACCCAAATTTTATGCATTTATTGTCTTGTATTCTTTTATAATTCATCAGTATATTATATTATTCTCTACAGCTTCGAAAGAAATATGAAACGCAACCGGATTTCATAACAGAAACAGGTGGTAAGTTGCATGACTACCAGCTGGAAGGCATCAATTGGTTGCGACACTGCTGGTCACAGGGGACAGATGCGATTTTGGCCGACGAGATGGGTCTCGGCAAAACTATTCAGTCAATGGTTTTCCTATATTCACTAGTGAAAGAAGGGCATACACGTGGTCCATTCCTGGTTCGTTTGTAATTTAAGGAAATCTTAGAGATATTTAAAGAGTCGACTGATTAGTGGCAATTCTGGTGCAGGTTAATAGAAATTACATTAAGATGATGAACAAATAGCTAGAAAAGAATCAGCTGAATGTAATGCAACAGTATATTTATTGTTACGGAGCATATTTTCAGGTGGCTGCTCCACTCTCAACACTAATAAACTGGGAGCGAGAAGCAGAATTCTGGTGCCCTGATTTTTATGTTGTAACATATGTTGGTGATAAAGATAGTCGTACTGTTATCAGGTATGTTTGAACAGCCTTGTACTTTAAATATTTTAATATGTCGTGGTTGTAAAAGATATTTTGGATCAACAAGTATGTAGGAACATACAGTTTGCATTTCTTAAAATAGTTGTTAACATAAAGTTATTTCATTTTATGATTTACAACAAGGTGTTTTAAGAAATAATAATTGAACACTCTGAGTCTGTTTTGAGGGGATTTCTTTTCGGTCAAGTAAGTTTGCAAAAAGTCTTATTCAGCTTGGTCTTACTGTTCAGGGAACATGAGTTTTCATTCATCGAAGGTGCCGTTCGAGGTGGTCCGAAACCTTCACGTCTGAAAACTGATCAGGGAATTAAATTTCATGTTTTGCTTACTTCATATGAACTGATTAATATCGATAAGGTGATTTTTTTTCCATTTTTTATTCTACATTTAGTGAATTAGCTATTGTGTTTTATGATGCAGATTGAATCTTATTTGATATTTTCGGGTTTATGAGTTTGTATCCCAAAACAGTATAAAGGTTTTATTTTATATGGAGAGCACTGATTGGGGCACTTAGTAGAGTGTCTACTAGTAAACTCATGACACTAGTGTTAATGAAACCGTTTAAGCTATTTCCTTTTTTAGTCTATACTGTCATCTATTGAATGGGCTGGATTAGTGGTCGACGAAGCGCATCGTTTGAAGAATAATCAATCGTTGTTTTTTCGTACTTTGCGCGATTTCCGAATTAATTATCGATTGCTTCTTACTGGTACTCCATTGCAGAACAATTTGGAGGAATTGTTTCACTTACTAAATTTCTTATCACCTGACAGATTCTAGTAAGTTTTTGGATTTAGATACTGATTGATTAGCAAAACTGTATTTCAATTTTATTAGATCATTCTAAACTCCTTTTCCAGCGATATGGATTCATTCACTCATGAATTTGCTGAAATCTCGAAGGAAGATCAAATTCAGAAGCTACATTCTCTGTTGGGACCGCATATGTTGCGTCGTTTGAAAGCTGATGTGTTATCGGGAATGCCGTCCAAGAGTGAACTTATTGTCCGTGTGGAGCTTTCTCCAATGCAAAAGTAAGCTACAACTCTCAGAGTTGATTTTTTGGAATGTAATGATTCCACATTTTGCAATTTCAGGAAGTACTACAAGAATATTTTGACACGAAATTTCGAAGCATTAAGTCCGAAAGGAGGCGGTTCGCAAATTTCCCTTATCAATATTATCATGGATCTCAAAAAATGCTGCAATCACCCCTATTTATTTCCTAAAGCTAGTATAGAAGCGCCAAAATTGAAAAATGGCATTTATGAAGGTACTGCGCTGGTGAAGGCATCAGGGAAATTTGTACTGCTCCAGAAAATGCTCAAAAAACTGAAAGAACAAGGTAAGCTTGAATTGGATATTTATTCTAATTTAGAGAAAATTACTCACCATTTTCATACTGTCATAATTTCCAGGACATCGGGTTCTAATTTTTTCCCAAATGACCAAAATGTTGGATATCATGGAAGATTTTTGTGAAAATGAAGGTTACAAATATGAGCGTATTGATGGTTCAATCACTGGTCAAGCGCGACAAGACGCAATTGATCGATTCAATGGTAAATGCTAATGTGCGAGGGGTTTTTTGCCACTCGAAGTTCATTGCCTAATTTTTTTTATTTTAAATTTACCACTTCATCTTATGAATGAATATATATCTTTTGCAGCCGCGAATGCGCAGCAGTTCGTATTCTTGTTGTCTACCAGAGCAGGTGGCCTTGGTATTAATTTGGCTACAGCTGACACTGTTATCATTTATGATTCGGACTGGAACCCACACAATGATATCCAAGTAATTTCTTTGAAGCCTAATTCCATGCTTTAAAACATGTTCGGTTTTTTCTACTTTCTAAATAAAAAAGTTCTGTGTTTAGGCTTTTAGCAGAGCTCATCGTATCGGGCAGCAGAAAAAAGTGTTGATTTATCGTTTCGTTACTCGAAATTCCGTTGAAGAAAGAATTACGTCAGTTGCCAAAAAGAAGATGTTGCTGACTCATCTTGTTGTTCGCGCTGGAATTGGGCAGAAGGGGCCTTCTATGAGCAAAAGCGAACTGGATGAAGTACTGCGCTGGGGAACAGAAGAACTTTTCAAGGTTTTTGGTTATGTCGATTACGAATTCTAGTTTTCAAAACAGTATATCATGCAACATTATACATTTATTTCAGACTGTATTAGGGCATGCTCTTTATTTCAGGTTGTATTAGGGCATGCTTTTATATGGCATATTTCGTTGAAACTATGAATTAATATCTGTAGCGCTGTTGTATGTTAGAAGGAGTTTAAGGAAGATGAAACAATGGCTGCGGAAGGTGAACAAGGAGAGAAGAAAACAAGTGAACAAGAAATTATCTGGGACGACGAGGCAGTCGATGCGCTATTAGATCGGTCTGCTGACGATCCCAAGGAAAAGTCAGGCGAGAAAAAGGAACACTGGAGTAATGAATATCTTTCTTCGTTCAAAGTTGCGCAATACACCACTCGAGAAGCTGATGAGGAAGAGCTTGAGGATGAAGTAAGCAATTGAGGTGTTAACGATAGATTTCGTTTCAGTTGCTTGCAGTCTTTCACAAAAGAAAAATTTTTTTTAATTCGGTTTATCACAGTATGAGGACTGAAAATTTTCAGGATAAAACCGAAGTAATAAAAGAAGCAGCACAAGAAGCAGATCCAGACTACTGGGAGAAACTTCTTCGTCATCATTACGAGCAGGAACAAGAAACGCAGGCGCAGAAACTCGGTAAAGGAAAACGTGTTAGGAAGCAGGTAAGTAACCATTTTGAAATTATACTACGTAAATGGCTTACTTTCTTAGCTTTATTTTTAGCGATGACGAATGTATGAATTTGCTCTTATAATTTTCATTATTTTTTTGTAATTTATAATTATCAAGTCTTGGCTTAAGTATCACATGTCACGTTCTTCAGAGAAATCGTTTTAGATTTTTATTAATCAGTATTTTGGTGTTTAGGTTAATTATGCATCAGAAAATATGCAGCAAGATTGGCAACAAATGAATCCAAATAATGACGATTTTTCGTCCTCATACAGTGGTGATAGTGGTCGTTCAGATGGTGAAGGAGAGGATGATGAATTTGACAGCACGCAACAAGGAAAGAAACGCCATCGTGATCGTGGTGATGAAAAACTTCCTCCACTTCTTGCACGTGTAAATGGCCAGTTGGAGGTTAGTTCTTATTGCAGCTTTTGTGTCAGGTTCATGTTTTGTTGTGAATTACTATTAAAGGTTTTCAGTGATTTTTGTACGAGACTTTGTAATCCTCATGGTTTATCCATTTCAGGTTTTGGGTTTCAATCCAAGACAACGACGAGCATTTTATAATGCAGTTATGCGCTGGGGCATGCCTCCGCAAGATACTTACCAATCACAGTGGCTTGTACGAGATTTGAAGGTATGTTCTGGGATTTTTGAGTTAGAAAATTACGGGAAGTTTTGACAAGAGTTCAGATAGAAACAATATCTTATCAGTGAATTGTTAGGAAGAATAATCAATTATCGAAAGAGACATGGAATACTTGAAAAAAATAAGAAAGTATAATTCTAAGTCTTGATAAATCGAAGTAGCACCCACAGAATTGGATTTTTTAAGGGTAAATCGGAGCGTGCATTTAAAGCATACACGTCATTATTTATGCGCCATTTGTGTGAGCCTGGAGCAGATTCTCAGGAATCATTTAATGATGGTGTACCTCGTGAAGGTTTGAACCGACAACATGTCCTCACTCGGATTGGAATTATGTCACTGATCCGAAAGAAAGTCCAGGCAAATTCCTTGCATGCATTTCGTAGCAGTTCATGTCTCATAATATGGTTGTGCTTGTCAGTAATAAAATTTTATCTAAAAGATTCGTTGTCGGTATCGACCATCATTTGTTAAAGAGATATGGTATGAGTATTAAGCTTCATTTCACACTTCGTTGTTCAGGGTGCTGGGAAAGTTTCTTTTTTTCTATCGCTGCAGTGGTTGGGGAATTGATGTTCTCTAAAAAATAGAATAAACTGGAATTCTGAAAGTTTTATTATCTTCAGTTTACGTGTTAAAATGTCACGTCATGCGAAAAAGTTTTATTTTCTTTTCACTTTTATTTGAATTTTTGTTTAGGAATTTGAAGCAAGTAATGGTGAGTGGTCAATGCCAGAGGCACGAGGAAGAGTATCACAAACTACTGAAAGTGAAAAAGAAGGTTCGAACAGTAAAGCTGGCTCGAAAACGTCAAGTAGAAGTAACACACCTGCTCTGAAAGAAAGTGCTGCATCGGGAGAAAACGTCGACAAAGTATAATATCTATGATTTTCTTGAGTTATATGAATCCTTTCTAGTGCCGGTGATGATTTTTTTCTCGAAAAGCATGATGGAACTATTAACTTAAAGACTCGAGAAAAACGAACAATGTTGACTACTCAGTTTGATTTTCAAGTAATACAATCAAATAATGGTCACTTTGATAAATAAATACACTGCTTGTGGTATACTGCTATGAGGAAAAAGGCAGTAAGCAAAGGCGCAATGGGACAAGTTTTTAAACATGATTGATTTAAAGGCGAATCTGAGGCACTTTTTATTCTAATGAGTAATGCAAGCGAAGCCTTTGCTGAATTTTGAATTCAAACATTTTCAGACTGATATAAAAAATGACAAAGAAGCTGGAACAATCAGGAAAGAAGGCGAGGAGGAAACTCCCAAACTGAAAGGTCCACGACCACCGTTCAAATTCAACATTGCTGATGGTGGCTTTACTGAATTGCATACGCTGTGGTTGAATGAGGAAAAAGCGGCTGTACCTGGCAATGAATTTGAAATTTGGCACCGTCGACATGATTATTGGCTCCTGGCGGGAATTATCACGTATGTGTTTTACGACTTGCTTGTACAGCTTTCAATATATCAAAAGAATCTTTGTATGACTCATGAAATCAGTCAGATTGCTCAGATACTATGGAATATCGGAATTTCCAGATGGGCAATCTGCAGGGAAGTAATAAATCGGCTCGGGCCATTAAATTCATTTAATATAAAAGAGGTTTTTATAGAAGGAGTTGAATCGGATGTAGAGCAGTTTACGACGTAGACAGACCTATAATATTTTATTTGGCTCAGGGTTGTATATTACGAAATGTTAACATGAAAGATTTGAACAACTAGTACAATAATTGCTGTGACTATTTCGCAACCAGTTGAAATATTTTAATATCATAATTTCAAATTTTAGGTATGGTTATGGGCGATATCAAGATTTACAGAATGATGTTCGTTTTTCAATTATCAATGAACCATTCCGCACGGAACAAGGGAAGGGAAATTTCTTGGAAATAAAGAATAAATTTTTGCAGAGACGTTATAAGGTAAACATTTGGAATTCAATTCAGTCACTGAGTCATGTGCAGATTTTTTCTTTTAAACCAAATGTACTAGCATTTTGTAAAACTACATCATGCAGGGGCTTTGATGAATAATATCAATTGATTTTTATTTTAGCTCTTGGAACAGGCTCTAGTTATTGAAGAACAGTTGCGACGAGCAGCGTATTTGAATTTAACGCAATCTAACACAGATGGCACACAACAACTAAATGAACGCTTCGCGGATATTGAATGCTTAGCAGAAAGCCATCAACACTTGGCTAGAGAGGGTATGCAAGGCAGCAAAAATGCAAGTGCAGTATTGCACAAGATAAGTTTTATTTATAAATATCAGTTGACTATCTCTCCTTGAAGGGCCTTATGCTGACTTTATCACACTAGATGTACTACATTCCTGGTTCTTGTACTTGTAAGTTTCAGCAGAAGAATGCATCATTACTAAAGAACTTGAGTCAAGTGGTACTAGTGCATGTCATGACCTCGTTTAATATTACTGGATGACTTCTGAAACTCAAAGTTGAAATTTTGATTTGTTTTGTAGGAAGTTGTATGTGGCATTTTTAATCATTTTTTAGGTATTGAATCAGTTGGAGGAACTGCTGTCAGATATGAAAGCAGATGTATCAAGATTGCCAGCAACACTAGCACGGTTGCGTCCTGTAACCGAACGTTTAGGGATGACGGAAAGAGCGTGTGTTTTTGATTATTTTTCTCACTTTTTTTCTTCTGTTTCTATGAAAAAAAGTCTTCTTATTAGTTACACTATATGTGAAAGGAAAGTAAATAGTAATTTCCTCTTGTAGGATATTAAGTCGATTAACAACGCGTGATCCGGAGGCAGCATCGGGGAAAAGTCCATTACCTCCACCTGGTCCATTCGTTACTCCTACTCTTGGGCAGCAGCTCTCCGGGATACAGCCAAAATTTGCTGCTTTATCAAGGAAATCGATGTCTGAAACAGTCACACGTGAAAAAAATACAAAAAAAGGACAAGAGGAGAAAGATAAAGATGAAGAAAAAGCTAAGGAAGAGGAAGCCGTCTCTAATAAAAAGGGAAAAGGTTCTTTTTCAGTGTTATGCTAATCTTCATTAAACATAATGATTTCAGATAGAGTAAAATATCAGGGTTCTTGCACTGTCTTTATCGTGAGTTATGTGAGAAAGTTCATGCTTTATTAATTCATTTCGTGAGTTCTGTATGAAATGGCATTAGGTTCGATGGTATCAAAGCTTGTGGAATATATTTTTGGAAATTCCAAATGAATCAAAAGAACTCTGTGATATTCCGGACCTGTTTAGAAGGTCAAATTGTGACTACTGTTATAAAATACGCACTGTGAATGACAAATGGTCTTGAAGATTTAAGTCTCATTTACATATCTGAGGTAGTACTCCTTATAGTCTTTCTTTGTAACATTTTCATCAAATTGCAGACAATTTGTTCCAGATGAAAGTAGAAATGATGCAGTCATCGAAAGTGAGGAAGTTAAGGACGAAAATGTGAAAGAAACAATAGAAGATGAGCCAATGGACTGTACAATTTCCGGTAGCGCAACTGCTGTTACATCTGAAAAGATTGAAAAAGCAGATGATTCTGTGATAGCTGAGTCAGAAAGTGCAATCAAGACAACCGCCGATGCATAGATAGTGTAAATTTGTAATAGTTATTAGAATACGAATATTTTCCATGTATGGTTTGGGGTAATTTGTGGACTACCGTAAAGGCAACTTCAAAATGTTTGCGCAGCTGTGATAGCCTAGAATAAAAAGCTTGGAATATTTATATTCGGCGTGCAACCACATCTTAGTAACATCAAAAACTATTGATGCCTAAGCGATTATGATAATCTTAATCGTGTGCACTCTTTTGATGGGTTTGATCTCATTGAATTATACTGCATGTTGTTAATGTTGTTTTGTATGGCTAAGCACAAGCTGTTGAACATTCGTTTTTAGTGTTTGTTTAGTTCATGTTCGTTCTTGTTTGTATTGTTTTTTCTTATTTATATAGTTTATTTCCATTTGATCGTAATAAAATATCCCATAAATATAATGTTCTTATGTTTGATGATTACAGCATTCAAGCGTATTTGCTGCAAAAGACATTTCCTTATGTTTTGACACTCGTCGCCATAAATCACCTTTTAGTGATTTTAGATCTACACAAAGATGACAGTGAGGGAATAAGATGTCTGGAATATTTGTTCATTCGTATCTTAGGATTGCTAGTGTTGTGTGATTCGATTTTCGACCGATTTTAACGAAGAAAGAACGAAGTGAAATTACGAAATTTCATTTAAGGATGAGTTTTTATCTACGGCAATAGTGGTTTCGGTGGCTAAAAGATCTGCTTCATCAGACTGGTTCTTTTGCGAAAGCGTGCGATACAATGGAGAATATACGCTGGAAAAGTTTGGTGGTGGTGAAAGGTGATGTTTCATGGACGAAATGTGAAGGGTTTTTTCTATTACCTGACTTTTGGTGGTCGAGAAGCATGTTGTGAATAGGATTTGCTTCGGTTCATATGTTTGAAACTATTGCTTTGTCGTGCTTTAACTTCCGAAAATACTCCAGGATCAACATTACGGGGATTCTCAAGAGATGGGGTGTCTCTTCATCAATTATTTAATCCATAATAGTTTATGAACACTGGTAGACAATCATTGTTCCCAATTGTTTCGATGTGCTCCTCTTTGTTCAAGAACATAAATGACCCTTTGTTTTCTCTCGCTTTCGTTTGTTTTTTGTGGATTACAAATTAAATCGTGCACTGAAGTACCCATCTATAAACAGATATTTTATTTCAGAATTTGCCAACTTGTTCCTTATTTTGATTCCCATTAAGGTAATGAATGCAAGGCAGAGAATACATAGGGATTTCATCGACTGTTTTGTAGTATTTCAGAAATTCAAAAGTTAAAGCTAAGAAGTGCTGTGAAATATGTACTTTGTGTCAGAGTAGAGTAATACGCTAAACTAAGTT